CAATCCCGGAGCAGCGTCTACAACAGGCCAGCATTTTCAAGGAAGAAGGGAACCGCTGTTACAAAGGCGGCCGTTTCAGGGATGCAGTGAGCCGTTACCATTGGGCCTTACTGCAGATTAAAGGCCTGGACCCCAGCATGCCTTCTCCCCTGCAGAAATTTGTGGCTGAAAAGCCCACCGTGACCCCAGACCAGGAGAAACAGCTGTATAGCATTCAGTGCGATTGCTACAATAACCTTGCCGGTAAGCCAGATTTTATTTTTTATTTTTCTGAGGCGTCTTTCTCTGTGGGTAACCTTAACCAGCCAGCGATACAGGTAGTCCACAACTGAGCTCCAAATTTCTGTGAGACATTTGTTAAGGGGGCTTTGCCCTGCTTTACGACCATAGTTGTGAAGTGAGTGACTGCACTGCATTGTATTACAGCTGCAACCTTCGTACGTACGAGTAAGTTGCCAAGTGGCTGGATTTAGTCAGTCAGTCACCCGTTTGTTACGTGGATCTGGCTTCCCCTATGGACTTTTTGCTCGTCAAAAGGTCGTAAAAGGGGATCACATGAACAACCCCGGGACGCTGAGACCATCATAAATATGAATCAGTTGCCAAGTGCTGAATTTTGATCGCATCACCACATGGGGATGCTGTAAGTAAGTGGGAAAAACGGCCGTAAGTCCCTTTTTTCAGTGCTGCTGAAACTTTGAACAGTTACTAAATGACTACTGTAGGATAAGTCGAGCTCCCAGATCATTGTGCTGAACCAGGGGAATCTGTGGGAAGCCATAGCAGATTGCCTTATAACTCTCTTGAGTTTTCAGGAGGGACCTTTGCAAGCAATTCTACTTTTGTGGCCATAATCAAGCCTGCCCATTACAGTTGTGACGGCCATAAAGTGGAAGCTGGTCCGATTTTACAACTTTTCCGTGGCCATCGTTAAACGAGCTATCCCGGCTGTTTTAAGCGAACCCGTTGTTCAGTGTGAGGTGTCTTGGTCTAAAAGCGGAAATTAACACTGCACTTTGGCAAAAATGTCATAAATCATAAGTCTAGGGGAAACCTATTATCTTTTCTATTATTCCTTTCTGCATTCTCTATTCTGTTCTATTCTATTTTCTATTATTCCATTCCATTCTTCATTCTATTCTACTCTATTCTCTATTCTATATGTAGGCTGATTGAAATGCAGTCATACAGTGATGGCCAGCTTTGCAACCAAGCTGTCCTAATTTAGAATGGTTGCTAAGCAACCATCGCAAGTCGAGGACTGCCTGCATTTTAACTGGAAAATGAACCTTGGTCAAATTGTCTAGCTTTCACTCTGGTGAAAAAGACGCTACTCTCTCTCCAGCTTGCCTCCTTCAGATGCAACCTGTGAATTACGAGCGGGTCAAAGAATACAGTCTCAAAGTCCTAGAGAGGCAAGCCGACAACGTCAAGGCACTGTACCGGGCCGGTGTGGCGTTTTACCACCTGGGGGATTACGACAAAGCACAACACTATCTGTTGTCGGCAACCAGCCGTCAGCCCAAAGGTGAGTCATACAGGCAGCCCTTGACTTACGACCGCGATAGAGCCCAAAATGGATGTTGCTAAGCGAGACGTTTTCTTGCAGACATTTCATGACCCAACTAGGTAACATCATCAGGGCTAGAGGGAGACAGCGTTTATGGAGAGGAGAAAGAGACATCATGTGGTGTCCATGGGGCTCTCTGAGTTTGGTGTGCTTCTTGCAGACATTTCATGACCCAAGTAGGTAACACCATCAGCACTACAAGGGAGAGGGATTTGCTTCTGCAAGCAAGCAAACCCCATTCCTTTCTAGCATTGGTGATGTTACTCAGTTGGGTCTTGAAACGTCTACAAGAAAACCACCCAGCTCAGAGAGCACCAAGGATCCCACAGTTCTCCTCCTCCTCCTCGCATCTGCCACTTCCTTCTAAACACTGTTGATGTTCCTTAGTTGGGTCATGAAACGTCTGCAAGCAAATCACGAAGGTCAGAAAGCACCAAGGATCCCCAAAGCTGATAATCTGGTCTGACTTAGCACTCCATACAAGCAAATCTTGCACATTTTAACTTTTTAAAAACTTTCTTTCCCGGCTTATCTCCCCAGATGCCAACGTCAAGCGTTATCTGCAGCTGACCAAATCACAGCTCAGCAGCTATCTTCAGAAAGAGAAACAGTTATACATGGGGATGTTTGGGTAGCAAAAACAAGCCGTCGCTGGAAATCCCCGGAAGCTGCAAACCATCATTTCTATATTTTTTGTGTGTGTGCGGGATGACACGCGGTTGATCAATTTTGGAGTGAGGTAGTGCCTTGAAAAATGCAAAATAGCCAACCCAGCTAGGAAAACCATCCTCAGCAAATGATATCCATTTCCAAAGCGTTTCCTTCTTCCCTCCCCACGTTTGTTCATAAAATCTTTTAAGACGTTACCCTTGGCTGGGTGTGATTTCTTTGAATTCAGGGGAAAGCGAATGATGAACTCTGAATTCCTTGTGAATCGCCTGCTTTGTTGGCCTGTCTCCGGAGGGGAAACAGTTTTAAATCGTAGCCTGGGATCGCTCGTCGCTTAAATGCAATTTATGGAAATGGAGATGATTTTCAACGAAACAGGCAAAGCCTGAAGCAGGCTTTGCACGCATCTAGATATTGCCTCTGTTAATTGCTGGGGCAGTTTTGATCTATCTTACCTTGGCCAACGAAGTAAAAATACTCAAAATGTGGCAGCTTCTCTTCTTAGGAGCTTTGTGGTTTGCTTAAAAGGTTGATCTAGGTTCATACAGCAGCAGAACCTGACAATAAAGAGGAATCTTTGTAGTTCAGGATTGAAGTGAGGGGTCCTTGGTACTCTCTGAGCTTGGTGGTTTTCTTGCAGACGTTTCATGACCCAACTAGGGAACATCATCAGTGCTAGAAGAGAATGGGGATTATGGAGGTGGTGGAGAAGGAAAAGGAGAAGGGAAGGAAGGAAGGAAGGAAGAATGAATGTGAGTCCTTGGTGCTCTCTGAGCTTGGTGGTTTTCTTGCAGACGTTTCATGACCCAACTAGGGAACATCATCAGTGCTAAAGGGACTGGGGATTATGGAGGTGGTGGTGAAGGAAAAGGAGGAGAAAAAGGAGGAGGAGGAAAGAAAGAAAGAAGGAAGAAAGAAAGAAAGTAAGTCAGTCCTTGGTGCTCTCTGAGCTTGGTTTTCTTGCAGACGTTTCATGACCCAACTAGGGAACATCATCAGTGCCAGAAGGGAAGTGGGGATTGTGGAGAGGAGGAGGAATGTGGAATCCTTCATACTCTCTGACCTTGGTTCTTTGCTTGCAGATGTTTTTTAATAATAAAACCAGATCTCTCTTCTTGCCAGCAAACATCCTTCATTCTTGGCGTGCAAAGCTGGCCTCCACCCTTAACTTGGGAGCAAATATTTTCTCCTTGTCAGCAGCCGGGAAACGGGGCTGTTTGAGTTTCCCAGCTGTTTTTTCTGCCTTTATCCTTTGCAAATAAAAATATGGTGGGTTTTTTGAGGGGGGGGGTCGGTTCTTTGTGTTCACGCAAGGTCGAGATCCCTTTGCTGATGCTTATAAGCCTCTGGAATGTACATTTTGGGGGGGGGGGACAGAAAGTCCAAAATTACAGACAAGACTTTTGTTGTCTTGAGAATCTTTTGCTTCCGTTTCTGCTTAAGAAAATCAAGTTGCTAGTCCTTACGGCGAGAGCATTTGCCAACACGGCCCCTGCCTGTAAAAACCACCATGGGTTTGTCTCCCAGCTATCATGAATGAATAAAAGCCCAATTGCTTTGAGTCAAAACAGAAGAGGACCCCCTTTTTACTGAACACGTGCTGGCCAATTCGCAATGCAGATAGTCCTCAACTTACGACAGTCCGTTTAGTGGCCGTTTGACGTGAACTGCAACCGGGCACGGCTCTATTAGCGACAGAGGTTCCAGTCCCAGTTGTGAAAAGTTGAGGACCACCTAAAAGCTTATTTCGGATTGCATCACACGGAACGAGGCCCAGACACAGCCAGCTTGTTCGGTCCAGGACACCGCGCGTGACTCAGTTTACCCATTGCACTAAGCCGTAAAATGGTTTGTTTGGTTCTGGATTAGTCCTGTCTGGACAGACAGGCCATGTTATCAGTTTTCTTCTCCCCTACAAAGATAGGACATCCCCAGAGAGTTAACCATACTGTGGCTCAAATGCTCTCCTAATCTCCATGAATGCGGCATGTAAAATTCAGCACGAACGAAGCATCTAAATTCTTATTAGCGCTGGCTAAAATCACCACCACGTCTTTGGCAGCTGCCTCAGTTGCCAGCAGCTGAGCCCTCCACCACAAAAGTTGCCGCCGGCAGCTGCCAAATAAATCCCACACTCAACTACCCAAAAATAATTTGGTTCAGAGCTATTAAAATTCACAGCTGGCTCCATTGCGGTCGATGAGAGAGCCAATTTCTCCAGGTGGGAAAACTGTCACCGCCTTTACCAACACAACAGCTGTTCATTTAGTGACCGTTCAGAGTTACAACAGCCCTGGCAAGAGAGATCTGTGAGCGTTTTTCACACTTAACGACCGTCGCAGCATCCCCATGTGGTGACGTGATCAAAATTCAGATGCTTAACAACTGACTCGTACTTATGACGGTTGCACTGTCTCTGGGGGGGTGTCACGTGATCCCCTTTTGCAACCTTCTGGCAAGTGAAGTCAATGGGGGAAACCAGATTCATTTAATGACCGTGTGACTAGCTTAACTGCATTAAGAAAGGTCACCAAACGAGGCAAAACTCAAAAAGGTCACCTAGCAACAAATTTTGGGCCCCACTGTGGTTGTAAGCTGAGAATAACCTCTAATTCTATACTTGACCATCGTCTTGCTTACCAATGGAAATTGGGGGGTCCGTTACAGTCGTTCAGTCGAGGACCCCCTGTAAAACACCCATCACGAGGGCTAGAAACTTGAGAGAGAGAGAGTGAGAGAGAGAGAGAGAAATAAAAGAAGGGATATTTCAGATGTTTATATATCCGAGATGTATAAAATATCTTGAATATTTTGCAAAAGAAAAAAAAAAGTAATTCAAATCATATTTCATCCAGTTAAGTTCATCTATGTCAATTCAATAAAAAAATTGATTGCCTTTTTTTTTTTTTTTAAACGGTTGGGTTAGGCTGCAAAGTTGTCGAAGCAGCGTTTCTGGCCCAGGAAAATAAAACAGGTTTAAGGACCGACTCTTTACCAAGCAAGCTCCAACTTGCTTGCTATGCTCCTTGCTGTCTCCCAGCCTTGCTAATTACAGTCATTTGCAACGTGGTGCCAAGGAATCGAATCTCCGATGTAAACAGCAATTGCTGCGGCTTTTTATACTCTTGGAAGAAAAAAGAGAAGAGAGAAGTAACAGGTACCAGTTGTGCAAAATTGCATAGCTGGGGTGGGGACAGGAGAAAATCCAAGGTCATGGCACGGGCTGTGTGGCACATACATTTTAATTACAGAAATCACGCCCTCTCCTTTGGGATCCCTGAAAACGGCTCTTTTCGCCCCACGGCAAGCTGAACGGAAGAGTGAAGCCGTTCTCCCATCGTCCTTGTTTGGCTGCAGTGACAACCCCGTCATCCCCAGCCAGCCCTGTTCCTGTTGAGGAGGATGGAAGCCCTAATCCAAAGAGGGGGGGGGAGTTGCCAGCTGAGGCTCAGAAACGTGTCTTGACCCCACATCCGATAATTTCAAGGTGGCGTGCTCAAACCGTTAAAACTGGGATCAGCCCCAAACCAGAATTTCATTATGGTTTGGGGAAATAAACCACAATGGGTTATGGATGTGGAAATAGACACGGTTCCATTTTGGCCATTAAAAAGCCATGGGTTTGTACGAATTGGAAACACAGATAGCTCTCAGCTTATGACCAGAATTCAGCCTGAAATCTCTGTCGTTAAGCGAGGCAGTTGTTAAGTAAATCCTTACTTGCAGGCAGTCCTCCACTTACAACAGGTCATTTAGGGACTGTTCCAAGTTGCAAACGGCACTGAAAAAAGGGACACGATCATTTTTCACACTAGCATCCATGGCAGCCTCCCAATGATCAAAATGGGGCAACTGACTCATATTTACGACAGTCACGTGATCCCCTTTTGTGACCTACAACTGCAGGGATTTGCTTAATAACCGTGGCTAGAGCGGGCGTAAAATGGGCAAAGTTCGCTTAACAACTGCCTTGCTTAGCAGCGGAAATTTGGGGCTCGGCTGTCATCATAAATACCTGTAATAGAAGATTGTGCTTGCTCAGAACTAGCTTCAAATCCAGCTGATTTGGAGGGAGGGGGATAGCTTAACACAAACAGGCTCTCCTACCTACCCACGATTATTCACCATCTTTTTGGTTTTATTGTCCATTAACAACCCAAAAACAACACCAGGCATTCACTGATCCGGCATAGATTACCTAGCGTGAATCCCCGGTGGTAAATAATAAAGAAGTACACATTTTTTTTATCTTTTGGTCCCTGATATCAAAACCACTCCAAGATCAAAAGCAGACTTCAACCAAAGCGACGTTTCTTTGACCCCCTTCCATGCTCCTGCGGCAAAATTTAAAAAGCCAGTTCAGAATGAGGAGAAGCAGCAGCTGATAGAAAACCTCTCAAGGCTTTTGACAGAGATCGTAAGTTCAGCTTTGGTTTGCGTTTCAGGCCCGTGGGTTTCCTACGGTTCGAGAGGTTTACATTTGAATTCAAGACATCCTCCGCCAAATTCAGGACACTGCAATGTGGAAGGATGCCAACGTGCCGGAGGCAGTCTCGTCATCCAAACTTAAGAGAAAGTTTTGCGACACGAACGTGACAAAAACCAAACCCCCAACGCATTCAGAAGCTAATTCCTCTTTCACACCACGTCCCCAAATGATTGTCTGGGTTTTTTTTTTTCTCTAGTATTTGGCAGTTCGGGAACTCTTGAAGGAGCGGGATACCATCTTCTTCAGCTCTTTGAAAGAACGGCTGCGTCGAAGCTTAAAGTTGTGAGGGGGCAAATCGGACGAATCCAACGTGGCGGAGCCATGCAGCCATCGGTCTCCAAGCTGGTGGTGGAACATCCAGTCCCCGTTCAGGCTGACAGCGCTGGTCGCTTCCACCTCGCTCAGCCTGCATCCGTTGCCGGGATGTCTGGCCCGCTGCCGAGGCGGCAGGTCAAACTGGCCGTCCTCTGGGAAGCAGAAGGTTGCCGGAGCGTCGGAGGAAAAGGCAAGGTTGCGGTTCAAAATCACCGGCGGAAGGAACGTCCCCGCTTTGGCACGGTGCCGTCCGGAGGACTTGCTGGATATTTCCAGGACCGACGTCCATTTTGGCTTGATGGCCTTGCCTCGGTTGGTTTGAAGTTGGCTGGCACACACCAGCCCGGCGGCTGCGTGAACGTTCATTTCCGAACTGGCTCGGGCCCTGCCTACTGGGCGGGACGACGGTTTGCGCCGGAGACTTAATCTGCGCAGCAATTCGCGGGGACTCAACCAGCTTCTCTCGGCTGCTTTCTCTCCTTTCTCTGGAGTTTTCACCAATTCCCGCGAAGCGTGTTTGCCTTTGTATAGCTTGTCAACACCAGTCGTGGCCCGGGGCAAAGAGGTCTCCTTTCTGAAAGCGGTCTCTGTCTTGGTTATCTGTTGCTGGGGCCCTGCGGCCCAAATTTTTCGATCCGGCGTGGCCGATTGCTTGTTCAGGACAAATTTAACCGAAGGATCCTGGGGCGAAGAGAGGGAAATCACAGACAACTCGCTCGGTTTAACGAGGTTGGCTGTACTAGACTGAAATGAGCTGATCTCTGGGAACGGCGGGAAGTCCCACAACCCATCCAGGACCCGGGAATCTCGTGCTCCGTCTGGACCTTCAGGAGAACGTAAGTGAGAACAGGTGGAGATGCGCCGTCGAATCTTCCATCCTGGAATCGGACCGAGGACTTGAGCGGCCACCTGTCCAGAGCTACAGATGGACGTCATGGATAAACTCTTCTGATTCCCCACAAGGTATCCCGATTCGGTACGATTTGCCGCTGTGCGGCACTTATAACGCAGCACCAACTTCGCCATGTATTGGTCCAAGCGGACCCTCGGCAGTTCTCTGGAGTCTTTCTTGGGAGACTCGGATCGGGGAACCTTTGGGGGCATCTCGTCAAGCTCTTCTTGGGATGAACTTTGAGAGAGTCCATTGGTGAAGAGAGGACTCTGTAAGGCTACGGCGTGCAGAGGGCTGGGGTAGTGGTAGACTTCATTGGTGTTTCGGGAGACCAGGTCAGACTTGTACCGTAGAAGCTGAAAATTCGGAGGCCTCGGGAGGGGCAGGGACCCAAGGCCCAACAGGAACTCAAGGTCACCTGTCCCAAGAGACACAATGAAAAAGAACTTGTGAGGTACAGGAATCTACAATTCTGCGCAAGAATTTGGCCGAGTATCTAGGACCACTTCTGGGTGTCTCTCCGATTCTTCGTCATCGCTTCAGATTTGTTTTTAATGAAAGAAATGGGGAATCGGTAGCACCCAAATAAGAGTTTTGAATTCTAGAATTATAGACCAGGACGGGGACATCTGACTATCCACTTAGAAGACTACCTATCTTACAGGTAGTCCTCTACTTACAATGGTTCATGGAGTGAGGGTTCAAAGTTACAACGGCACCGGAAAAAAGTGGCTTGTGACTGTATTTCAACAACTGTTGCAAGCACCCTCACGGTCACGTGATCCAAATTCAGAGGCATATTAACTGACTCATCTTTATGACGGTTGCAACATCCCGGGGTCGCGCAGTGCAAAAGCACAAACCCCAGGCACCCTCCACCAGCGTCCACCTGGAAACGACTTCAGACTGAATGACGTGCAGAGGGTTTTGTTTTTAAGCCATAATTAGGTGGGGTATTTTGTAGGCTGCCTTGAGGGGACCATGAAACGGAGGCACGTCTACGTAAACAAACAGGTTGGAACAGGGCAAGCTGCCTCAAAGCAAACAATACAATTAAACTCTGCTGCCTGATCTCATTTGGATTGATTTCCTGGATCGACTGCTCAGGCAGTGTGTTCCAGTTTTACTCATTTGGAGTGTGGGGGGATTGAATCCAATCTGACTGTCTAGAAGATTGAGAAGGCACCAAGCACCCCAAAGGACACACACACACACACACACACACCAAAAGACCAGGAGGATGTGTTTATTAACACTTGCTTCCTTTAGCTTTGGCATAAAGTATTCAAAAGATCGACTAACTTGCTGCTCCCAGTACCCTTGAAATATTCACAGACTAGAAGAGGCACTGAAATTGAAAATGAAGCTTCTCTTTGGAAGCTGGTTTTAGGATGCTTTTACAACAGCCCTGTGAGGTAGTCCATGCTAAGAATGACAAGAGAAATATTCACCAACATAGCTCCTGAGCTGCTTCAGGTAATCTGATCATGGCTTGTTACACAAACCCTACCACAGTGTTTCTCAACGTTGGCAACTTTAAGATGAGTGGACTTCAACTCCCAGAATTCTTTGAATTGAAATCTATCCATCTTAAGGTATGCTGGCTAGGGAATTCTGGGAGTTGAAGTCCACCCCTCTTAAGGCATGCTGGCTGGAGGATTCTGGGAGTTGAACTCCACCCCTCTTAAAGCATGCTGGCTGGGGAATTCTGGGAGTTGGCCAGGCAGGAGTCAGCCAATGAAATCACAAGTTCACTGTCATTCTTAGCATGGGCTACCTTACAGGGCTGTTGTAAGACTTTCAAAAACCAGCCCCTTAAGAGCAGTTTCATTCTCACAGTACCTCCTCTTGACTGTGGCTGTTCCAAGGATGCTGGGGACTAGAAACTTTCTTTGCTTCACATCAAAGAGAGGCTCAGAATGATAAATGCAGGGCAGGATCGATTTATTTATTCAGTTTATATTAAATACTTCATTCCAAAGCTAAAGGCTGGCCAACGTTAACACATCCTCCTAGCGTCTTTTTTTCTTGCGAGGTAGGCCGAGTTGAAAGGGAGGGAATTTCAAAATCTCCCTGGGAGCTTCTATGGGCAAGGCAGGACTCGAACCCAGACCTCCATACTCTGCAACCATCATCGTTCGACCACAGACTCTCGCACTGTGTGTTCCAATTCATGCTGCTCTCTCATACGGGACACCCAAGTCACCCTCCCCCCCCACAAGGAATGTGGCCTTACCGGTGGATACCGGACGTCGGTTGTCGGTCCCGGTGACGTTCGTCAAGGTCAGACGCTGCAATCGGAGATCTAGGAGCCGGACGGCCGCCTCGTCCGTCGACCGTGGCCGGATGAAGCCGTTCTCGCGCAATCCGGGGAGGTGAGGGAGGGATCCGATGCTACACCGCGAGGCCCCAGGTCCGTCGCTGTGCACCGAGGCACAGGAATCCGAGAGGGAACCCATGTCGCTGGTTTCGTAAAACCCTGAAATGTGCAAGAGCCCCCCCCCCGGTTACAACAGGCTGTTGCTGCCAAATCCAGGTAGTCCTCGACTTACGGCCACAACTGAGCCCCCAGATTTCTGTTGCTAAGCGAGACATTGGTTGTTTTGCCCCCATTTGAACACCTTTCTTGCCGCAGTCGTCGTTAAATTAATCAAACTGCTGTTAAGGGACTTTGCTTGTAATGAGGTCGCAAAAGGGGATCATGTAACCCGGGGACACCGCCACCGTCATAAATATGAATCTGTTGCCAAGTGTCTGAATTTTGATCCCGTGGCTGTGAGGATGCTACAACAGTCATGTGAAAAATGGTCATGAGTCATCTTTTTCGGTGCCGTCATAACTTCAGACGGCCACTAAATGAATTGTTGTAAGTCGAGGACCACCCGAACTAACAAAATTCTTGAAAAGAAGTTTAACAGGGAGATCAGATCAGGGGCAGCCTTGATGAACCACTAGGTTTTTTTTTCCTGCGAACTGTTTTCTATGTTTCTATCACAACAGAACCTCAATGGATAGGAGCAGCCTATCCCAAATGCCAAATACCAGACAGAAACAGGGGAGGGTGGTGGTTTTTCTGCTCAATTTTCTCCAAGAGTGAGTGGATCTGTCAGACTACAATACCCATCACCCCCAGTTTGCACATGCTGATTAAATGTATTAGCTGCGTAGGATGAGCGATTGAAACCTTGAACTGCTAACCAACCTGTGGATTCAGCCACAAACTAGGATTTGCCTTGTAGATGGCTTAAACTACAAATCCCTGTGATAGATTGTGGTTCACGGTTGGCTGACATATCTTAGCTTGCATTAACCATGGCTTGCTGGGCCAGAGATGAATAAAATGCCATGATTATTTCACTGACCTATCAGAGATTTTGGAATGGTTCAACAGACCCTGGTTTACACAAACCCTGGTTAGGGAAGACAAAGGCAGACATCCAGGGAGGGCAGAACTGAAAATGAAAATATTAGGATCTGCATTGTCTGAACATAGACGTACCTGAACTGGGTCTGGAATCGGCTTCCGGCATCTCTGAGGTGTCTCCTCCGTTGATGCCTACTTTCTTGGTCTCCTCACCCATCATCCTTAGCCCCAGACCTTCCTTGTCTGAATCATCTTCAGCATGAACACACAACTCCATGTTCTCCGACGAGGTGTAGAAGCCACAGCGTACCTCGGCACATCCGAGGACCGGTTCCGCTTTGTTCTGGTCCAGCTTTGCAATGTTGGGATGGGTCAATTTTCCCTCTCTGAAGCCATTTGAGTCCTCCTGTTTGGCCAGGTGGAAGAAGAGATAAAGGTCAAAAGACCTCTTTTTAATCGCAGGGATCCCATGTTTGTGACAGTAGATCCCTCACGCACCCTGTCCATCCTTCCCGCGTTTCAGGCTCCTGTGTGATGGCCTGGAGGCACCATATGGATTTGCACCAGGAGGCAAACATTACGACGGTCCCGAGAAGCAAAACACCCGATATTAATTTGTTAGAATGTCTTTCTTTCTCTCTTTTTTTTCTTTCTTTCTTTCCTTCCTTTCTCTTTCTTTCTTTCTTTCCTTCCTTCCTCTCCTCTCTTCCTTTCTTTCTTTCTTTCTTTCTTTCTTTCTTTCTTTCTTTCTCTTTCTTTCCTTCCTTCCTTCCTCTCCTCTCTTCCTTTCTCTTTCTTTCTTTCCTTTCTTTCTTTCTTTCTTTCTTTTCTTTCCTTTTTCTTTCTTCAATTTATATTACCTGCCCATCTCGCAAAACAAGTGACTGACATCAGTCTTCCTGGTTAATCACTAATGTTGGATGTGAAACAAATCAACAAGTGAAGTAAGCAAGACATAAGCAACCCGATAGCACTTTCTAAGCCTAGCAGCTTTCCTAGATGTCTCGAGCAAAACACATTCCATCATTTCACGTGGTGTGATCCAAACACTTCCTCATGCCAAGCAATGTTTTCAGTTTAGGACACTGAGCAAACCAGTTTTACAGTACCCACTTCGTTTCCTCTTTGAGTGCCTTCCTGAACTGGATCAAATAGACACTGTCTTGTATTTACAGGGAAGGAAGGCTGAGATAGGAGAAGTTACCCAAAAGAGAGAGAAAAAAAGTACCTTAAAAACCCAAGACACATCACCGTTGAAAGGTGGATTTATGTCAAAATGCCCTCGGGGAAAATCCAAGCAAGAAAGGAGAATCTGGGTTTTAATTTTGCATCTGACCAACTTTAAACACACACACACACACACATACCTGAAAGTATCTTTAGAAAATATTAACTGTCCAGGTGGGCAGGAAGTCAAAATGGAGGAGTAAAGCTTTCTGACAGCAGAAAAAAATAGATTTACTGGCTATTTAATGAGGCCTCCAAGGCCAGAGGCAACATAACTACTTTGCAAATAATTAATCCACACCTTGAACCAACAGAAACCCGGGCAGTCCAAAAGTGTCAAAGATTAGGGTTGATAATGAAGCTATGTTATAAATATATCCTGAAGTGGCTTCCAATGTTCTTTATGGCAGTTCTGAATACGTTGATACTCTCTCTCCTCTCTCTCTATGCCTAGGCAATGTTCTCTACCTTGGCAGTTGGAAGACGGTGGACTTCAACTCCCAGAATCCTCCTGGCAGGGGAATTCTGGGAGCTGACGTCAAAACCATCCGCACATTTTTTTTTCAAATTGTCTATCCGTTAACCCCAGCCAGAATTGTTCTGCCTTCAATGGAGTATTTAAAATTCTTGGCATCAGTCTGCAGATTTGAACCCAACACCTGGGGTCCTGGTGCTCTCTGAGCTTGGTGGTTTTCTTGCAGACATTTCATGACCCCACTAGGTAACATCATCAGTGCTAGAAGGAAGGAGGAGGAGGACTGTGGGGTCCTTGGTGCTCTCTGAGCTGGGTGGTTTTTCTTGCAGACGTTTCATGACCCAACTAAGTAACGTCATCAGTGCTACAAGGAAATGGGGAAGATGAAGAAGGAGGACGACGACTGTGGGGTGCTTGTGAGTGTAGTTGTTTTCTTGTAGATGTTTCTTGACCCAATTAGATAATATCAGTGCTAAAAAAAAGTGGGGTTTATGGAAAGGAGAAGGAGGAAGACTATGGAGTCCTTGATGTTCTCTGAGCGTGGTTCTTTTCTTGCAGACATTTCATGGCCCAGCTAGGTAACATCATCAATGCTAGAAGGGGCAGCAAACCCGTTGTAGCACTGATGATATTACCTAGTTGGGTCATGAAATGTCTGCAAGAAAACCACCCAGCTCAGAGAGCACCAAGGAGCCCTCATCTCAACCCCGAGCTAACAGATATTCTCCTTTATTGGGGTTTTCTAGCTTTTTTACACATCTGCCAAACACGACGGAATGACCATGACTGTTTGATTGTGCTTTCCTGACATTGAACCGAAACTGAGGGGGAGAGGAAAAAAAAAATCCGCCTTCACGCAGGCAAAATTTGAAAACCACAGGAATGCCAAGAGCTAAAGCTGAGCAAAGAGAAAATATTTATTTGTTTTACAAAAATGTAAGCGTGTCAACCTTAAGCCTCCGGTGGAGAGGTAGCCGGTGCCAAGAGGAAGCCACCACCGACGCAAACAGCAGGTGCATTGTTTAGGTGAGTGCACCACCTCCCACCCCAGTTCAAAAGCAAAATGGACGCTCTACGATGAAGGATTTTATTTATTTATTTAGTTGGTCAATGGCCAGCAACATGAAATAATAAAAAGGAGAATAAAAGGTAACAAACACAGGAAGGAAGGAAGGAAGGAAGGAAGGAAGGAAGGAAGGAAGGAAGGAAGGAAGGAAGGAAGGAAGGAAGGAAGGGGAGGGAGGAAAGGAAGGAAGTGGGAAGGAGAGAGGAAGGAAGGAAAGGAGGGAGAGAAAATGAGGGAGGGAGGGAAGAAAGTGGGAAGGAGAGAAGAAGGAAGGAAGGAAGGAAGGAAGGAAGGAAGGAAAGGAAAGGAAAAAATGAATAGCAGAATAGCAGAGTTGGAAGGGACCTTGGAAATAATAATAATAATAGTGTTGGTAGGGACCTTGCAGGTCATCTAGTCCAACCCCCTGCTCAAGCAGGAAATCCTGTACCATTTTCAGACAAATGGCTGTCCAGTCTCTTCTTCAAAATCTCCAGCGTTGGAGCACCCAAAGCCTATGGAGGCAAGCCATTCCACTAATTGCTCTAATTATGATAAGTAAGGTGGCAAATTGCAATCACTCATGACCATAAAAAGAGACTCACCCCATCTCACACACACATATACACACCCAGGTTTTCAAGCATGTGGGATCAAATTAAATGCTTGAGCAGCCTGAGCTGAGCAGCTAAGCCGAAAGAAAACAATCCGTGTCCTGTGTCAGGCCGAGAGAGCTTTGCAAGCTACCACAGCTAGGCTCGCCTTTTAAAGCAGGCAAAAACATATATTTTCATGACACTAAAATCTAAAAAAAAAAATTTCCCCTGCTCATCTATTTTGCCTAATTTATACCAGCCCAACCTTGACTCTAAAATCCAAGGAGACTGTGGGAGAGGAACGAAGGAGAGTTTCCACTTCAAAGGGCCGAAAAATAGCAAATTTTATTTTGCGAGTAAAATTTTAAGAAGGGATTGGAACGTCAATTGTCTGGAATGGGGTAGGGTCTCCCGCTTGAACAGGGGGTTGGACTAGTAGACCTCCAAGGTCCCTTCCAACTCTTGTTATTTTGCTACTCTTTTTTTCCCTCCTTCCTTCCTTCCCTCAATCCTTTTTTCCTTCCTTCTTCCCTCCTTTCCTTCCTTCCTTCCACCCTCCCCCCCTCCCTTCCTGTGTTTGTTATCTTTTATTCTCCTTTCCATTATTTCATGTTGCTGGCCATTGACCCAATAAATAAACAAATAAAAATCCTTCATCCTATATGTCCTTTTTTTTTCTTAAAGCGGGGAGACCTTTGTAACCTGAGTTAATTAAGGATTAAAATGAATCCTCGCAGACCCTTTGGGTAAACACATTAGGTCACATAGCTGCAGGAACTTTCCTGGGCAATCACAAACACAGCCCAGGTGTAAAGGTTCAGCACACACAACCCTTCCCCACAACTGGAGGGCTTTTTTTTTTGCTGGCTGTTCACACCCAATGCTTCACATAACCCCTAAATTTCTGCACCAAAGGGTCAGGAAGGAAAACTCAATTCCCCCCACCCACCCAAATCACGACGGAAACCTGGATTTTAATCTCCGTTTCTGGTTGTGAGTTCAGACAAGGAAGCATGGGCTGCTGGAGACGGTCAAAACAGTGGGAGTGTTCCCATATGTTTGCTATCAACATTGTGCACTGGGAGTCTGTGGGATGTGGTGCCTGATTGGCACACATCCCCCTTTCCAACCCACCCCTCACCAGCCCCCCCCCCATTCCTGATCCTTCCCCGCCCCTTTTCAAGGCTTATCTTCCCTATTAATTGCCCATCTGCCACGTTGCCCAAGTTTGTGTTTGTTTCTCCCACTGCCTGCTCAGTCTTCCTGGTTCCTAGTTCAGCCTTAAATCCAGTATTTGGGACGGAGGTGTGAACTCCTACTTTTCTGTCTTCATCCTGGTCCATGCTGAAGCCCCCCACCACCAAATTTTCATTTCCCCCCCCTCACTCGGGATCCTAACCTTCCCCACACCTGTCTTTTACAACCTGCCTTGATTGCCAATTTATAATCTGACTTCCAAGGATCCAGAGGCAGCCTTGAACCAGGGGAAAACCCGCCTGAGGTCTGTTCCCGTTTACAGGAAGTCCTTGACTTACGACGGTTGAGGCCAAAATTTCTGTTGCTAAGCGAGACGGTGGTTAAGTAGGTTTTGCCCCATTTTGCCCCAATTGGTAAGGGATTCGCTGCAGTTGTTTAAATTAGCAACACAGCTGTGAAATGAATCTGGCTTTCCCATTGAATTTGGTTGTCAGAAGGTCTCAAAAGAGGATCACGACCGTCATAAACATGAGTCAGTTGATAAGGGTCTGAATTGTGATTAGGTGACCACGGGAGATGCTGCAATGGTCATAAATGTGAAAAATGTTCGTAAGTCACTTTTTTCAGTGTCATAATTTTGAATGGTCACTAAATGAACTGAAAGCTCACATTTTACCTGTATGGCCAATTAAATTTGGGAATCCCTGGATTTCTTTCTGTGTCCTCTCCGTTATAGAATCCCGAATGGGCTTGCTTTCTTTCTTTCTTTCTTTCTTTCTTTCTTTCTTTCTTTCTTTCTTTCTTTCTTTCGTCTGTCATGGTTCCAATTAGGATTGGATTAGGATTAAATGTTCTTGCTTTGACACTTTTTCTTTCTCTCTTTCTCTCTCTCTCTCTTCTTTCTTTCTTTCTTTCTCTTTCTTTTCCTTTCTTTCTTTCTCCTTGAAACATTTCGCCTCTCATCCAAGACACTAGATGATTTGAAAATCTCCACAGACATAAATTTGCTGGTGGGCAATTTTCCGTCTTATGTGTATGGTTTAATAGCCAAGAAATGGAATAATACAAACATTAAAAACATGCATGATTTTGCTTGAGCATGGAAAGGTGTACAGAAGACACCAGCCAGAGTTTAACTCCTAATTCCTTTATGGAATATCCGTAAGTAAATAAAATGTCTGTTTCTGGTTGGTTTTTTTTTCCAGATTCTCCATTATAGCCTCACTCAGGAGATTTCCTGGTGGTCTTCCATCCGAGTGTTCACAGATTCAGTTTCCCTTCTCAGACACAAAACATTTTTTCTCTGATTAAAGTAAAACCTACCCAACATTTGTACATTAGCTCTATTTTTTTGTAGTTTCACAATTTGCCTGGACACTCAGCCCAGGTGAGGACTATACCACCCCAATCGTTTCCATCATCTAAGTCTCCCGGGTGTGTGACCAGGCTGGAAAAGCAGCTGAATTTTTCTAACTAAACTAAGCCTTTAATTGCAATAAATCATGATTTCTCTCCCCCCCCACTTCCTTCTACTCACGTGCAGCCAATTTTAGCTTACAAGCAGTTTCAGGGTTTTTTTTAAAAAAAAAGATTTTTTCATTTAAAATTCCCTGCAGGGATTTGCTATCAACTCCAGGTAAAATTAAAACTTGCGGTGGCTTGGTGACGTATTGAAATAACTTTTTATTTTATTTTTTTCTTTGCTCTTGATTTAGGGTTAGGGTTAACTTAGAACCAAATCCAAGCCAGTAGAGTTAAACGTCTCACAGAATAACCGGTAATTTCCGCCCCTCCTCACAAACTATAATATCCACGTTCTACAGGAATATAATTCAGCTATATAACATAATTCTGGTTTAGAGAAGGAGGCAAGGCCAAACAAATCTTTCCTGGCTGAGCTCCTTTTAAGCTCAGCTTTTTGAAATTTAGGAACGAACAGTCGGGAAATATTTTAAATAGCAATCGGGATCAAGCAGAAAAGATGCTAAGCCCCTCTCTCCATTTCCCCCCCCCTTCAAATCTGCACATCCCAAACATGGATACTGGCCACATGGCAGAGGGGACACCCCCCCCCCTCAAATTCCAGTCTGCTCTTTAAACAACAAAAGCCACTCGCCTCGCTGCTGAAAGGATGGGAGTTGTAGTTAATGCTTTTAGAGCACCCCAACAGAGCACCTTTTCTTAAAGGATTCCCCCAGATTTCCACTAGATCAATTTGCTTCAGGTCTCAGCAACTTCTGGGTTCCAAGAGGTCCTTAACCGTGGATCCTTCCATTCACAGGGCCAAACATTCAGAGAAGCTTGCAATCAAGGCAAGGGGGGGAACCCCCTATAAATCTCTTATTGCACAGGTGATCAACCCTTTCATAGGCAGCTGGATTCCTCATGAGTCAGGGCTCCAGGGATGGTGGAGAGATCCAGAGAAGCAGAAGCAATGGGGAAATCCAGATTTCAAAAGCAGCTGCTTCTACCCTGCCAGCCAAACCCACTGGATCCCACCTGTGGGCTGTGAATGGTAGATTATTTTTTGATTTGATTTGATTGTTGGCCTGGCACAGTTGACTTAAGGTTTGTAAGTGGCTTTCCAAAGAAACCCACCCATTCCCGCCAGGTTTACTCGCGGAGGAAGGGGACGGGAAGGAAGCTAGGGCTGGAACTGCAGCCTGCCCCCCCACTAGGTCACCCACCCACCAAAAAACGTAACCCATCTCTCACCGATGGCGACTCCGACCCAGCCAGGGCGCTTTCCACGTTGGCTTTCTGCATTTCGCGCAAGAGATCCAGTTCCCAAAGACCGGCCAGGCTGGCTTGGAGACGCTCACCGATGCGCAGTCGCTCGTGGCCGGACCAGAGCGAGGGGGGCACGGCCCGGCGGCTGGCCATGGGGACCCCAGGACGGGGCGCAAGAGACCCCAAGATCGTGCGCCTTTGGAGAGGTGGAAGGCTGTGGGGAGGTGCCCAGGTGCCCGGAGCTGGGGAGCAGCAGGTGGGGGAGGCAGGTGTGTGTGGGGGGGGTTAAGCCCCAAGGGGGGGTCCAGGAGAAGGGCAGAGGGGCCCAGATGGGGGAGGGATTACGAGGTTGCTTCGTCCCCAGCCAGGAGAACTTCAGCCGCGCCGAAGCTCCAGGGCGCAGCGGAGCGCAGTTCAGACAAAGGAGAAAGGTTTGAACGCGTCACGTGCACACAGGGCTCTTCCCCTCCCTTTTGGGGGGGCCGCCCCTTCCCCTCCCACCCGCGTCGCCGGCTCCTGATTGGCCCAACCCACCGGGAGATATTTCCCCCCCCCCGCACAAAGCCCAACCAAAGGAGGAAAAAAAAAAAAAACTTTGCAAAAAGTTGCGCGCTCCGCAAGGAAGGCGGGCGCCAGGTAGCTCAACCAGGGTGGCAACCTAAGTTTATGATGATGATGATGATGATGATGATTTAAAAAAAACCACAGCAAGAGAGGGTTGTTTTTTTTAAAAGTTTTAAACATCGGGAAACGAACAGAGGTTGCCCTAGCTAGCCTAGCTAATAGGATGGACCAACAGGTGTATTTTTTTTTTAAAAGGATAAATTAGTGATAGGGTTTAGAGATGGACGCCAACACAGAGACACGCGTTCGCCTGAAATTAAGGCTTAACGTTGGAGAGAAGATTAGAAGTCTGATGCCTGATTTATTATCAAAAGCAAAACAAGAAACAGGGCAGGAGGAAAAACAGATGGGGTGGGAAGGGGGGGGGGAAGCAGAAACCTGGCCAAAAAAAAATGGAAGAGCTGCGCGTTAAATGTAGCCAAAGGAGAGATAAATCGAAAGTGTCCCCGGCCGGGGGGGGGGACTTACAAATTAAAGTATAAGGCCCGTAGAAGCGAGAAAAGGAGAAGGACGAGCAGGAACTGGCGAGATTTGTCTTGCTGCCCCCGTTCACACGACGCGTTTATCACTAGAACGCTTCGTCTTGCGCGCAAAAAAACAAAAAAGAAAAAAAGCGCCAGGTTTGCAAAGTCGGCTAGGTTTTTCTCCTTCCCAATCGGGCGGGTGGAAGACCCCTGAACACCACCACCCCACCTCCCAAGCCGCCAACAAATCTCGTCTCTCCCATTCGACACCTAGTGGCGGGGAGTTCCCACGACCCGTGGACCCGCGGAACTCCTACCAGCCTTCCCCAGGTTGGGTTACATTCCAGGGGTGAGTGGGAAAACGCCTCTGGAGCTCCATCCCTGACCTGGATCCACCCTTCTCTCCCCCCGCCCGCCCGCCCCCGGAAGCAGAAGCGGGCCCGATCCTGAGAGCAGCGTGGGAAAACGTGCGCATCTTGCGCTATTTAAAGCCCGGGCGGGCGAGTCGCGGCAGAGCCATCTCGGGTCGCCCTCCTCCTTCTCGTCTGCCGCTTCCATTTGGTTTGATCTCCCAATGGCCTCCTTTCCTCCCTTTAAACATCGAAAACCGTTTGGTAAGGGATCCTCGTTTCTCTGCTGCCCCATGTAAACGCTCCGGTTTGCGGTGTTCTTTCTCACCACCCCCCCCCCGTTGCTACCGTCCCCTGTTGGCCCAAGGAGGCAATTCACCCCCTTTTTTTGAGGGTTATTTTCTTTATTATTAGAGCTGTACTGTGGTTAATGAGCAGGTTTGTGTTCCTACGATAGGTACGTTTTTCCAGGTTAAGGAAACCCGAGTGGATTTGGTTAATTCAGTTTTCCGGATAGACATAACCTAGGTCGGTGTTTGTGGTCCTAGGGCGCTTGGAGGGGGGGGGTCCCTGAAATTAAAATTATTTGCTAGCCTACATGGGAAAATACATTTATTAAAAAACCCTATCATATAATTGGGAGAAGCCGCAGCAGCAGCAAATGCATCCATTTTAATAAATATTAACAAATATCCATACAAACCAAAAATACTTTGGGATTCTCTGTAATTTTTAAAAGGGCTCCCAAGAGAGAGAGAAAAAAATTAAGGACCACTGCTCTAGGTATATCCTAGCATAAAATGTGAATGGTTAGTTTGTGTTCCTACTGTAGAAATGCAGGAAACTCCATTTAGAGATCTAAATACCTTTCCAGCCTCTCTAAGGGGGTATTACAGATCCCATCGTTCCCAGCCAACATATCTTTACTGATTTAGCAGTTTATGGCTGCTAAAAGACCAGAAGCCATTCCCCTGTAGACAAACTTTAGATGTTGCCCTAAGCCACAATTAAACCACCTTTGACAGAGATGGTTTGGTTTTAGGAGAGGGTGGTTGACTAGAGCCACCCATTTTGGGGTTGTGTGTGTGTGAGAGACAGGCCTAATCCCTAACTAAACAACTACGTTTTCTAAGTTTTTTTGAGTCTTGCGTGCTGCAAAGTCCGCCTTTATGGCTTAATGGGAAGTGGATTTTGCTGATCGGGATTCCTTTCACAAACCATGGTTAAACTGAGGCTTAGTGTGGGCAGGAAACCCAGTCTCTTGAGAATTAAACCTGGGAATGTCGATTCACAATCCATTGTAATTCTTTCCAATTTTTGAAAACAACAACAACAAACATTTATTTTAGCTTCTAGGAAGAATGAAGTGGCTGCAATCCGGGTCAGATTTCCGTATAAATTGCCGGTAGGTGTGTTGTGAATTAGTAATTGGGTCTCTTGCACTTTGACCATTGCACAATGGGAGTGGACTTGGGTCTTTCCCCCTCTTTTTTTCTTTTGCTTCTGCTGTTTCTTGAGGGGTGAGGAATCTTGTTTTAACCTCCCTCTTGCTTTGTATGCATACGTTAAAACACACACGTGTTTGCATGCCGGCACAAATATGCACAAACCCCTGGTTTAAAGTGCACACTTATCCTTTCCAGCTTCTCAAAACTCCGCTCTTGGTTCATTGCAGGTGATTCTGGAACGCTATGCGAAGGAGAAAATATTGCCAGCTTTAAACAAGGTGAAGTTTCTAGTCCCTCAAGAGTTCACCATGGGCCAGCTTGTAGCCATCATTCGGTGAGCATTTCAAACCGTGTCAAACTAAGTCAAGGATGGGTGGGAAACTAATTCAAGGATGGGGGGAGGGAATTCCATCTCCGACAGGAAAGAAATGGGCCCTTCCAGGATTTTAGTGTTCAACAGACAAAGACGTTTTAAATGGGGTTTAAATGAACCCACAATTAACTAGATTAGCATTTGAAAAACCAAGCCATTAAATCGTGATTACTAAGGAGATACTGGAATTCCCCCTCCCCCCAAAGAGCAAGCAAAACCACTTGATGAGGGCCATCCCCTATGGGGTTGAAGTACAAGTGGGTCTAGGAACAGAATGTAAAGATTTTGGGGTTGGTCTAGATGACCTCTAGGTCCCCTTGCAACCTCACGATTCTATGGCAGTCTGTGCATCTGCTCCTTGGGCAGGATGAGCAGTTTAAAACAGGGCCGGGGAGAGAAAGTTGGAGTGAACGTTGTTGTTTTTTTTCTTTTTCAATCAAACCGGTTTCCTCGACTATTTTAACCCGATAGGCTGCTTTAAAATAAATCAATAAAAAAGATTTATGGAGCAGCTACTTGAAAAGCAACCTGTTCCTGCAAGCATTTATCAGGACTGGTTTGATCAGGTTTTTTGTTTTGTTTTTTTTCTGTAGGAGGCCAAAATTCTATCACATTTATGCAGAAAAGGGCAAAAATACATAAATTAGGATGATGTTATGAAAACTGGGAAATGGCTCAGCTCCAGCGCCCCAAATAAAGCAAAATCTTGGGTTTGACTAGGCTTACACTGACGCTCTTTGGGCCAATCACCAGGAGACCGTGAGTTCTAGTCCCGCCTTAGGCAGGAAAGCCAGCTAGGTGACTTTGGGCCAATCGCCAGGAGACGGTGAGTTCTAGTCCCGCCTTAAGCCTGAAAGCTGGCTGGGCGACTTCGGGCCAATCGCCAGCTGACGGTGAGTTCTAGTCTCACCTGAGCCCAGCTTGGACAACCCTTGCAACTGCACAATCGCAGGGAACTTTGGAAATTGCAAGCACACCCTCACGCGTACACAATCCGCGCCCAGCAGCTTGAGATCTCAAAAACTGACTTGTCCTTCTTCTCCACCCAGTAACCGGATGGGCCTACGGTGCACGCAGGCGTTCTACTTCCTCCTGGACGGTAACCACAGCCTCGTGAACATGTCCGCCACCATGGCCGAGGTCTACACCACATACAAAGACGAGGACGGCTTCCTTTACATGACGTACGCCTCCCAGGAGATGTTCGGTTGAGGGCCTTCAAGCCCCGTCAAGTCCTCTTGAGAAGATGGACAGGGAGGGAGTCCTTAGGTCTCCATCCTGGCCACCCATTTTATTCCGGTCTTCGGAACGTGTTTCCAAACCTGGAGAACTTCTTTTTTTCCCCGTTGCACAGAACTGATTTGATGGGTTTGGGGTTCCTGAGCTGCAGGAACCGCCTGGCGCAATTGTCTTCTGCCTGGTGGTCTTCAAAGGATCCCTCGCTAAGAATCTGGCTACTTCATTCACTTCCTCTGCCGGTTTTGGGATAAATGTCTTGGGTTCCAGATTCTCCTGCACCCTGTTTCAGTTTGGGGGTGAAGGCTGAGCCCTCTCCTATTCCCAATGTCCGATCCCCAAATCTTGGTTTTTCTCACACACACCCCCAAAACGAAGACAATTCTGGGATCTCTCCAGCTTAGCCACTAAAAGATGGGTGGACTTCAACTCCCAGAATCCTCCTGCCTGAGGAATTCTGGGACTTCAAAATCCACCCATCTTCAAGGTGGCCAAGCTTAAGAAAGGGTGTTAGGTAGAAAGTCCCAGCATCCCGTTCCCTTGGCTGTACCAGCTCAGGCTGCTGGGACTTGTAGTCATTCAGCTCCGCTCAACAGCGGAGGGAACTCAACACTCAAAAGCTGTGTGAACCGGAGGACTAACTCCAGGCACCGACGAAGGAATCGCACAACCACACTGGTGTGGGTCAGATCAGCAAAGGCTTTGCTGGGAGGGGAGAGATTGCGTCACTTGCTCACTCATGAATTTAAATGGAAAATGTTTAAAAATTTGCCAAGGAAAATGTTGGAAATGGCTTCAGTCTAAATCAGAAGTAAACGGCGTGTGGTCGGCCAGCCCCGGAAAAAGGGGCCAAAAAAAAAAAAAATCTCACAATTCATTTTGAGTATTTCGTAGCTTGTTTTTCTCAGCTCGTTCACTTTGAGGAGCAAAAAGGAGTTATTTCTTCTTTTGCTTCTAATTTCGGAGTTAAAAGGGGGGAAATTGTTTTTCTTAGTGTCCTCTAAAACAGTTCTAATAAGGAGCCCCCCCCCGCTCTAAATCAAACTCTTAGCTTAAAATTGGAGGATGCTTCCTTAACTGGATCAGATGCTAAATCTTGGTTTTGACCTCAGTCTTGCTCAGTGGCTGAGTGTTTTCAGCCAGGTTTTCACAAGCAGAATGAAAATTAGAAATCAGAAGTGCAAGTGGCCGAAGAAGGAAAAAAAGTGAAAGATTTCTGATTCACAAGGATGTCAGCAAAACGGGTACCACGTTGGCGTACAAGGTTAATTGTTCATCGGGTGAATTTACACAGGTCCCTTGTTTTAAATCTACACCTTTTAACTCAGCCAGCGTGGCGGTGATAGATGTGAGGCTGTCTAAAACAATAATCGGTTCTTCCTTTTTAAAGAGTTACCAGGGAAAATTCAGTTTTTAGGCTTTTCAGTGACCCTCACCGATTTCTATTTCTGAAAAACGGGCTTAATTTCGTCTCCAACAAACGGCTGAGATTTTTCCCAACCGGTACTGAGGGTTTAAAAAAAAGGGGGGGGGATATCATTTGGTTAGCTGCCCTTCCTCCGAAGAAAATAGAGGTAGTCCTTGACGTACAACAACGGTTCATTTAGCGACCCTTTAAAGTTGCAACGGCACTGAAAAAAAATGGAGGACTGTTTTTCAAGCTTAACGACCGTTGCATCCCCGTGGTCACGCGATAAAACATTTGAATACTTGGCAACGGATTCATGATGGTTGCAGCGTCCCGGGGGGTCACATGATCCCCTTTTGTGACCTGATGAGTCCATGGGGAAGCCGGATTCGCTTAACGACCGTGTGACTAATTTAAGAAGTGCAGTCGTTCTCTAAACAACTGTGACAAGGAAGGACGTAAAAACGGGTGTTATTTGTAGCTTGGGGTTTAAATGAGGGGTCCTGGGTGCTCTCTGAGTTGGGTGGTTTTCTTGCAGACGTTTCATGACCCAACTAGGGAACATCATCAGTGCTAGGAGGAGGTGGGGTTTGTGGAAAGGAGAAGGAATAGCAGGAGGAGGAGGAGCAGCAGGAGGACTGTGGTGTCCCTGGTGCTCTCTGAGCTTGTTTTCTTGCAGACGTTTCATGACCCAACTAGGGAACACCACCAGCCTCATACAGCGCAAACTCCACTCTTTTCTAGCATTGATGATGTTCCCAGATTTGGCTCATGAAACGTCTGCAAGAAAACCACCAAACTCAGGTTTGGCTGAGACCCCCCCCCAACATCCTCATAGATCTGAAACAAAACACATTTCAATGGGATAAGCATGCCGTTGAAGGAGGGCAATAAAGCCCCACGCAGCACAAAAATTCAGACTCTTATTTTTTTTTCACGTATCTTTGTTCTTTTTACTGTGGAATATGCATCTTGAGCAAGTAAGGCTGCCGCGGAACTACTTACAAACAGGTTGAGAGTTTCGCAACGGGGTTGATGGCAGTGGTTGCTGCAAAAGGGGGAAGAAAAAGAACATCGCTCGGAGGTGGGGAAGGAGAGTTCTAGGGGGTCCCCTCCCCAATTGGAGTGGGTGCAGCTCTCGGACCTGTTCCTCGTCCGCGAGATCGGAGCATCCAGGTGTGCCCTCGGCCCCACGCTCAGTTTAGGCAGCGTTGCGGATTATTCTGCACTTTTCTGGCAATCAGTCTTGCCCAATAACAGATCCTGGTGCCCCCAGGCAAGCAGAGCACCACTCATCTCCTGTTGCCCGCAAATAAAATTCTGTATTGCCACCGGAATGGAGAGAGACACCCCCAAATCAGCAAGGCTGCTCTCTTGAAGAGCTAAAACAACCCCAGAAGACTCACTATTATCGGCAGTTTGACCCACAAACACACAAGCAATCCAGGGATGGTTTACAGTGGTTTCTTTTCAAATTGGACCCAGGGAACGGCCGGAGTCGCTTCTGCGTTGGCGCAAAAAACTCCCCGATAAGGAGAAACTGAACCGTAAACTTTTGCCGCAGTACAAACAGGGCAGTTTGGATAAAATGTCAGGCAGAGTGACCCGGCTGAGGAAGAATGGGAAAACTGGACACCAGTTGTGTGGCTTCTGCCAGGAATGAGATAACTGGAGAATTGGGGTCCTGGTGTGGGGAACCGACTGCGAGTCCTAGGAAGGATTTTCCACGTCGTGTTTGCACCGTTTCACGGCCAGATCCTCGTTGTGAGCCTTCCGGATGTGCCGGTAAAGGTCTCCGGATTGAGTGTAACTCCGCATGCAGTAGCGACATTCGTATGGCCGTTCCCGGGTGTGGACGGTTGCGTGGCGCCGGAGTGTGTAGGAGCAGGAAAATGTTTTCCCGCAGGTCTTGCAGGTGGGGACGTCATCGGTAAAGAGGCTAAAATTGGAGTGGGAATCGTAATCCTGCAAGTATATCTGTTCGTGCAATGGAGGAGTTGCCAGGGTGGAAAAAGTCCCGCTTCCAGGCATGTGGATCAGGGGGTACGACGCATTTTCTTGGGGCAGGAAGCTGCTTTCCGAAGAGACCTCTTCCATCCCTCCGGGCTCTTCAAAAGCATCCGGGTGACGCCCACAGCTTCCACCGGAGCCCACCTCCCCACCAGATTTCAAAAAGAGGCTTTCTAGCCTCAGCTCCGAAACAGGAGGAACCTCCAGTTGTTCAACCCCGTCCGGTTCCTCATCAGAAATCACGATAGCTTCCACTTTGACCTTGATGGACTGATTTGTGGACGCCTTGTGTGCAACTAGCTGCTCTCCGTATCTCTCCGGAGGAGGGTCCAAGCCGGACCTCCCCTCAGCTCCTCCGTTTCCGGCAGGAAAGGAGCTGCACAACAGAGTTTCGGTGGAACTGCTCGGGCTGGAGAGAGAAATGTCCACCATGGGTTGCGGACGAGGCCGAGCGGATGACGGAGCCTCCATTCCCGGTTGCGTGGTGTCTGCGACGTCTGACCTGGAGGCCGACAATTCCTCCAGAGGCGCTTTCTGTCTGGCGTTCCATTCTTCTTTTTTGTTGTTTTTCTCGAGGTCGCAGGAGTGAGGCGGGGGCAAGGACACAGGCTGGCTTTCGGGGGCTGGCAGGAGACCTTCTTCCTCCTTCTTCGTGCTGTCGGCTTCGGCCAAGGCCCGGGCTTGCAGCTTTTTCTTGCACACCTTGACGATATCGTTCATGTGCAGGTAACTGGCGGCAGCTAAAATGTCTTCCACCGGCATGTCGGCGAAAGAGAGGCTGCCTTTGTACATGAACTCAAGCAGGAGCCCAAAGGCCGGGGCGGTGACAATCTCGCTGTTGATGCAGACCAAGTCTCGTTTATCCAGCCGTTCCTTGTAGAACATCTGGAAAAAGGCACTGCAGGAGGCGAGGACGGCCTGGTGGGCCAGGAACTGGGTGCTGCCCACCAGGACGGTGCAGTCACAAAGGAAACCCTCGTGTTGCTGTTCCCAAAGTTTTCGGAGTAAGTTCTTGCTGTGATCGGGGAATTCCATCATGTTGTCTCTTTCAGGACAACAGGGAGGTTAAAGGCATAGTCTGTCCCCCTGGAAGCCGCCGACAAGAGAAGGAGAGAAGCGGCGTCATTGTTGGAAGGAAATAATAATTGTAGTAACAACAACAATAATAAAGTTGGAAGGGACCTTGGAGGTCATCTAGTCCAACCCCCTGCTCAGGCAGGAAACCCTATACCATTTCAGACAAATGGCTGTCCAGTCTCTTCTTAAAAACTTCCAGTGTTGGAGCGTTCACTGCTTCTGGAGGCAGGCTGTTCCACTGGCTAATTGTTCTGTCAGAAAATTGTGTGCCAAAACAACTAGACATGGGGACATTTCCCACCCCCTCCCACCATCCTTCTGCTGAACACCTAATTCCCACACTGCCTCCTTCCGTATACAGGTAGTCCTCAACTTACGACCACAATGGAGCCCAAAATTTCAGTTGCTAAGCGAGGCACTGGTTAAAGATTTAAGGGCCTTTCTTGCTGCGGCTGTTAAGGAAATCACTGCAGCTGATAAATTAACCGGGTTGTTAAGTGAAATCTGGATTTCCCCATGGACTTTACTGGCCAATTGGTCGATCCCCTGACCTTGGGACACAGCGATGGTTGTAAGTCTGAACCAGTGGCCAAGCCGCTGAATTTTGATCACACGACTGTGGGGATGTTGCAAAAGTCATTAATTGTGAAAAAATGGCCAGAGCTCTCTTTTTTTTTTGGGTGCCGTTGTACCTTCGAACTGTTGTAAGTTGAGAATTACCTGTATTTACTCCTGTTGTATGGCTGTAATATTATTATTGTCCTTCTATCTTCTCTACCTGCTGTTTTGGGTATCGTATTATGATTATTACTCTGTTGCTTTGCATGTACGTTGAAAGCTGCTGCACCAGAGACAAATTCCTTGTGGGTCTAATCCCATTTGGCCAAACAAAGTTGCTTCTCATTATTCCTCTGTGCCCCCCCCAGCTTTCCCTTACTGTCCCCCTCCCCAATACTGGGTCAACTGGACCCCCCCAGACTCCACATTGCAGCCCCCTCCCCAATACTGAGTCAATTGGACGCCCAGACTCCTCATTGCAGCCCCCCTCCCCAACACAGACTCCTTAATTGGACCCTCCTAGCCCCCTTTGCTGCCCCCTCCCCAACATTGAGTCAATTGGACCCCCAGCTTCCACATTGCAGCCCCCTCAATACTCTTAATTGGACCCCCCAGCCCCCATTACTGCCCCCTCCCCAATACTGAATCAATTGGACCCCCAGCCTCCACATTGCAGCCCCCTCAATATTGAGATCTTAATTGGACCCCCCGCCCCCTTTACTGCCCCCTCCCCAATACTGGGTCAACCAGACACCCCCAGACCCACATTGCAGCCCCCCTCCCCAATACTGATTCAATTGGACCCCCCCACTCATTGCAGCCCCCTCCCCAACACAGACTCCTTAATTGGACTCCCAGCCCCCCCTTGCTGCCCCCTCCCCAATACTGAGTCAATTGGACCCCCAGACTCCCCATTGCAGCCCCCTCCCCAGTGCTGAGACCATAATTGCCCCCCCAGCTGCCCCCCACTGCTGCTCCCCCCCCCGTTGAAGGGGAATCTAAGCGGATGGATGGATCTCGGGGCCCCCTTCTTCCTCCCCCCCCAAGAAGGGGGGCGTTGGGCGATGGACCCCCTTCCTTCACCCACTTACCTACCACAAAGCAGAGGCCTCCCGGGGCACGCCCCCTTTTGCCTGATTGGCCCCTCGACTCTGCCCCTCTCCGGGAAGGCGGAGTTTCGCCTGTCACGCCCAGAGCGCCTCTGATCTCGATTGGCTCCCTCGCCCAGCAACTTCCCGCCCGTCGCGGCCCTCGCCCAACCTGGGCGCGGCTGGGAGATGAAAGAGTTTCGGGGCTTGGGCCCGCCTTCTCTCCCTCTCGATTGGCCAGCGTGGCTGGGTCCGGCGTTCCGATTGGCGGAAGCGCGCGGGAACGCCGACGTTTCTCCGCGTCCGTGGCCGAGCAGCCGTTTCCCCTCAGCGGCGATTGGTGGAGGAGCTTTTCAGAAGGCATCCCAAGAGGGGGAGGAGGCGGGACTTTGGTTTCCCTGGTTACCAGGTGGAGAGGGGGGGCTTTTAGGCAAATATAAATTAAACAAATTAAGAATGCTGCTGATTTAATGAGCCCTGGCTTACAAATGTTAAATTAAGCTGCCAGTAGATAAGAAGCCTCTTTTTTTTGCTATTGGTGCAAAAAGCCCTTTTCATTATAATGATGGAGATTTATTTATTAATTATTACTTCTTTTTAACCCTGGTGACTTTGAATAAAGGAAGCCCCTTAAGTGCAATCATCAATATTTTAATGCAGCATAAATGCAATCAGTTTAATTGACCATCTAAAACAAAAGCCCTTGTGTGGCTTCCTCTTAAATATCTTTTTTTGTATTGGAGCAACACTATATCCTCCTTGCAAGGAGGTGCAAAATAGGGGCAAAAAAATATTATTTGCAATTGTCACTAATTATCATAATTGGGGTTTAATCTCAGGAAATATCAATGCTATCAAAATCTGGAGGACTTCTTGAACTGTGGAAGAAAGCGTAAGTTTAGAATCTGGACAGCCGTGTGAAATATTGTTTCTTTTTTTAAAAAAAAAAATAATTCTTTATTAAAACATTTAACCAAACAGAATAAATAGCTACATCAAAGAGAGAGAAAAAAAGACAGAAAAAAACATCGTGGCTAAAGAATAAAACACCAGTACGTAAACAAAGAGCTGACCATTATAAAAATTTGAAATTATTACATTAATTATTTGCATTTATAGAATTAAGTTCATTCAGTCATGTTAAGAAATGCCTAAAAATCTTTTTTAAAAACTCTAAACCTAACGTTGATACCCTCACTATTTGTAGCTATTTATAGAGAAATACAGAGTTAAAAAAATAACTGGAAACAACAGTTTCTGTTGGAGATTCGAATTCAACAGGAGCCTTTATTAGAGGTTGGGGCTCCTGAGTTTGCGCAGAGTGCAAGATGAATTCCAAGCAATTAAGTAGCAAGGGGGAGGAAATAATCCTGCGGCAATTTGCATGCAGAATACATAACTTTTGCCCAGCTCCCAACAAACCTTGACATTTCTATTTAAAGGAAAAAATATGTCATTCGTTACTATCTCTCTATTTCTCCTGGTGTGCCAAAAGCTACTGCAGAAAAGTGACTCAATTTCCAACAGATTTACTTTCCAAATTTAATTTTGACCAAGTCAGAATTCACTTTGTTACTGTATTCATAAATAATTTCATTTCCCTCTCCGGCTTGCAGGAGGTTCAGCAATTTATTTATTTTTTTTAATTTTGAAAAAGAGGTTCCTTGCACACTCGGCCGCTAGGAGTCAGTTGTGCAAAACCTCAGCATAAAAGCCATAATTCACCGACCAATTGCGATGGTGCTTGTCATTTCAAATCCATCTGTAGTAGTTTCCCCACCAAATTTAACGTCTCTGTAAGTTCGATAGGTCACTTTTCCGGGCCCTGGTGGTGGGTAGCTTCTAGATCAAGGTGGGAGGTGTGGGGGGGGGGTTTAATTTTTTTTAGGGGGAGTTATTTCCTTCGAGGCAACATGAGGAAGAAGTCGCCTGCCCAAAGCCAAGTCAGTGTCAACCCCATGAGAAGATCGACACGTTTGCGACAGGAGAGAACTGCAGAAAAGGTAGGAAAATTTTTCATTCTTCCAAAGTGGAATTATAATACCCGGACACACAAATTTCCTTGTCTCTCCTAGAAGCGGCATGTGTCTTCCTCAACATACATGCAACTTTTTACTTTATTTTACTTATTAAGTTTCTATACCACCTGTCTTGCCTAAGTGACTCGCTGGTGTACAGCAATGTAATAACGCAAGATGAACGCCTGATTAGAAAACCACAGTTAAAAACGTATTTTATTTTATTCATTTATTTATGTTTCATCTTTCTAAGCCGCCCATCTCCCTCAGAAAACGGGCTCTGCGTACAGTGTAATCCATATGTAAACATATACAATTAATGTTAAAATATTTAAATTAGTTAAAATGATTGAACAGAATGATAGAGACGGAGAGATTAGACAAATGAGAGAGGCGATGATAGATAGGTAGATAGAAAGATAGATAGATAGATAGATAGATAGATAGATAGATAGATAGATAGATGCAGTAAACAAACACATAGACAGATCTATAGATCTATATATATAACTATATACTATCTGCCTGCCCCCCCTCTCTGTTTCTGTCTATATTATCTATCTACCTATCTATCTATCTATCTATCTATCTATCTATCTATCTATCTATCTATCTGTCATCTAATCTCTTGTCTCAAAGAGACAGACATACAGATAGAGATTAGATGATAGATAGATAGATAGATAATATAGATAGAAAGAGAAACAGAAACAGGTGAGAGAAAGAGACAGATGTGTGTGTGTGTGTGTGTGTGAGAGAGAGAGAGAGATGCAGATAGCATATAGTTATATACATATATAGGTGGCCTAATACTGGCCTGTGTTCATAATAAAAATTTGATTTGAGCTGTACAACCCTGTCTTCATTTACAAAACCCTCTTTTCCTCCATCTGTTGGACAGCTCCGTCTGGCCCACTGTAAACCAAACTAAACAAAGATCCTTCCCCATCTCTTTTCGCTGGCTGGAATAATGCTGTTTAATTCTGATTTCTCGACGTCCTGGGTCAATTTCCCGCGGCCATCCACCATGGTTTCCCCTCAAGTCATGGCTGGATTTTTCCAGCCCTTCCTTTCCTGAAGGGAATTTTTTTTTTTAAATGGTGGAATTGTAAAAAAGGGGATCCACCGTGGAGGAACGGTTGGTGAAGTGGATGGAAGTCGCTAAGGTGGCTAAGTTGGGATTTTTTTTTTGATGAAAGAAAAGACAAGGCCAATGGTTTATTGTTGCCTGGAAATGTTTTATAAAAATATACAGGTAATCCTCGACTTACAATTGCAATTGAATCCAAAATTTATGTTGATAAGTGAGAGAGATGTTAAGTGAGTTTTGCCCTATTTCATCTGAATTTTGTCACGTGACCCTGGGGATGTTGCAACGGTCATAAGTGTGAAAAACGGTCATGTCACTTTTTTTTTTTTTAATGCCGCTGTAGCTTTGAATGGTCACTAAACAAAATGCTGTAAGTCATTGACTATATTTGGTAGGTTTGCCACCTCGGATGATTGATAAAAATAATAAAGGTCTGGTAAAAAAATTAAAAAGAAAAATATCGTAGGCGGGCTGAATTCTTTTCCTCTGATTCGGCAGCCAGTTTCATTATGACGGTGTCCATTTTAGGTTCTGTTTTTCTATAATTATTCTTCTCGTTGTGACCTTGTTTACTGCGTTCCCCTGGATTTTTAATTTTGTTTTTAAGTTGGGTTCTTTGTGGCGGCTTTGATGTTTTTGTTTTTTTAACCTGCTTGAAAAGCTGCCTACAAAGGGTAGTAAATGAATTGCTAAATGCATTCAAGAAGGACAGGATAATCTTGTCTGTGCAGGCAAATGTGTATTTACTGCCTTCTTTAGATTAAAAAAAAAAAAAAGAAAAGTGGAAGCCAGAGACAAAAATAATAATTTTGTTCAGCCTGAAATTCGTCCCGAATTGTATTTGATTGTAGCATAGGCATTAGAAGAAGAAAGATGATTTTGCTTGCAAATAAATTTGCTTTTAGTCTTTGGAATAAAAAAACTCCGAAGTAGCTTGATTGAGTGAGGAACTTTTGGATGTCCTTTGGGGTTAAACAACGCTGGGCAAGCTGGTCAAAAGGGCCTGTCTCTCTTCAAAGAGCTTTCATATCTTGCTTTCAAAGATTGTCAGTTGTTGTGTGTGCATTCAAAGGCAGAGAGAGAGACAGACGTGCCTTCACATTGCTATCTCTGCAGCTGCAGAAACATCTGTGCCCTTTCTCTGCCAGGGGACTCCCCAGCCAACTAAATGAACACAAGTTGCTGTCAGGAAGCCCAACCAGCTGACCGCCATGACAGCAGGGTGGTTTTTTTTTTAAAGTTTCCTGAAAATTTAGGAAGGTTGTTTTTATGTATTTAGGTATTAATCAACCTTATTGTAGCCACTTGTCTCGTGACAAATTATGATGGCTACGTGGTAAGAATAAAGAATAATGTCGGAAGACTATGTGCTTCTTTATTCAAAGGCTTAACCGATCTGTCTCCACCTCCATCTCCATCTCCACCTCCATCTTCATGTCCATCTCATCTCCACCTCTCCATGTCCATGTCCATCTCCTCATCTCTCCATCTCTATCTCCATGTCCATCTTTATGTCTCCACCTCGCCATCTCCATCTCCACGTCTATCTCCATCTCTCCACATGTCCATGTCCATGTCCATCTCCTCAACAATCCATCTCTATCTCCATCTCTATCTCCATTTCCATCTCATTTCCATCTCTCCACCTCTCAATGTCCATGTCCATCTCATCTCTTCATCCCTATCTCCTCCATCTTCATGTCCATCTTCATCTCTCCACCTCTCCATCTCTATCTCCATGTTCATCTTCATCTCTCCATTTCCATCTCCACAGCCATCTCATCTCCATCTCCACCTCTCCACCTCTCTATGTCCATGTCCATGTCCATCTCCTCAACAATCCATCTCTATCTCCATGTCTATCTCCATTTTCATCTCATTTCCATCTCTCCACCTCTCAATATCCATGTCTATCTCATCTCTTCATCCCTATCTCCATGTCCATTTTCAAGTCCATCTTCATCTCTT